GGCCATTTAAGCCAGCAGCTAAGGGAGACAAGGATCTTCCAAAACAAAAAATGGCTAGACCATTCCAGCTCCCTCCACTTACACCATCCAAAGCAGAATCTTCATCCACAAGACCTGCTTTAAATTCCAAAAACTTTTTCACAGTCCTAGCAGATTATCCAAATTTACCAAACTCTTCTCAACAAAAGCCCCAGAGGCCAAACTACCCCCCCTACCTCAAAGTCTAAATTTGAGACCAACTGTTGCTCTTGAAGCTTCATCCTCCCGCCAAACAAAAGCAGCTTACACGATGAAAGCCCCTGAGACTTTTGCCCAAGCAGTCAATCCAGAATTGACTAAAACAATTTCCTCAAAACTAAATCAAAAAGAAGAATTTTTTGACTTTCAGGTGTCACAAATACTACCTTTGATGGCACTCAGTAAAGAAGTATCTAACATGGATGTTGATTTATTAATAAAACCTTGTTACACTGATTTTAATTATGTGGATACAGATAATCCACTAAAAACCAGGAGATACTTTGAAGCCATACTAGTGGATACAGAATCCGTCGACATCGAGCATTGCAAAGATGCAGATAATCAAATCATGTATTCCAGGATTACAATCAAGAGAATACTAGAACCAACAGAATGGTTTACAGATCATCTTCACACTCCAATTGCTTTGACAATGACACACCGCCCACAGACTTATAATTGGTATGATTATAAGGCCGCATGGATGAACTTCCTCTATGTCAGACCAAGGCACACTTGGCTTATTAAATACAGCACACCACTAACAAAGGCCATCATCCCACGATGATTTTATGAATGGTGGAATTTATTTGGAGGCACCAAGGAAATTCTTCTCCTTTAATTCCGCATTACTTATGATCCTTTATGGTATCAGAGCCATGTTGGCAGTATTCATATTTGGTATGAGCAGCTAAATATAAATACTGTCTAAGGCATTACAAAATTAATTTATGAAGTAATTTATAATTCTATTTGTTATGTTTTTAAGTATTTGCTTAATATTTTATACTTCTTATTCTTTTATATTAATTCTATACTTGGTGTGAGGCGTATCGTTCTTCTGATATGAGTATGAGGTATCCGATTAATATCCGGAGCATGCGTTGGTCAGCCTGAACTTGGAACACTCGCTATAGCCAGGAGGGCGTCAAAGAGTTAGTACTATTGGTGGTCCCGTAACTAAGATGACTCTATCAGAATGAACTTGATTGTCAGACCAAGAGCACCTATCATAGAATAATTTATAAAAGATTTTGAATTATATTTTATTAATATTACTTAAACTCCAACATATTTGACTTATGTTTACTTGATATCTTAAATTTTGTCTTGTAAGTCCTTTAGACC